GCAGGAGGTGGTCCCAGCTGAGTAGGGGCTGACACAGGTGATATCTCAGTGCCTACCCCATCTGCAGCAACCTTGGGGTGATCGGTCAGTAGAGATGACTGGACACTGTCAGGCCCCTCTTTGACCAGACTTTCTGGTCAAAAATTGGGCACTTGACCACCCTCCTTGATGCAAAACTGGCAGTGGATTATTACAGAGCTGCAGGAGGTGGTCCCAGCTGAGTAGGGGCTGACACAGGTGATATCTCAGTGCCTACCCCATCTGCAGCAACCTTGGGGTGATCGGTCAGTAGAGATGACTGGACACTGTCAGGCCCCTCTTTGACCAGACTTTCTGGTCAAAAATTGGGCACTTGACCACCCTCCTTGATGCAAAACTGGCAGTGGATTATTACAGAGCTGTGCTCGGGAGTAAGCGTTGCAGACCCATAGGGCTACATTAGTAGAGCTCACCATGACTGAAGGTGATTTAGAAAGACTTTTACCACCTTGATGATGAACTGGGATATTCTGGTAGATCTCCAAACAGGCTGCTATTATCATTGGGCTCACCTGCTCTGGGGCTACTGTGGCGTTTCTCTGCCAGGATTCTGACTAGTGGAAACTGAGGCACAGAGATATTCAGAGCCACATTCTGATCTCAGTGACGCCCAGGCAAGGCTGAAGAGTCTTCATTGACTTACACAAGAATATAAGCACAGCCATGCTCAGGTCCACCGATGGGGGAGGACAAAGAGGACCGTTGCCCCCAGGCCCAGCGATTGACATGGGCCTGGAACTGCCACCACTGCTACTGTAGCAGCAGCAGATGGAGCCCTGGGCCCTTTACATTGTTGCTTGAACGCCGCACACTCCATGCGGCTGACAGCTGGGAGGGGTTCAGCATGCTCCAAGCAGTGCTAAGGGCTAGCTGCCCCCCAGCCCTGCCTCTTCTGTTTGAGGCCTGGTCCCTTCTGGGAATGCAATGCTTGCCCCACCCTGCCACTACCACCTTACCCAAGGGCCTGTGGAGTCTGGTGGCTCCTTTGGCCATACTAGGTCAGACCAATGGTCTATTTCTGACAGTGCCCAGGGCCAAATGTGCTGTCTAACCAAGTCTTCTGGTTTCTGTATAACCAGACTTCGGCGGAATAGCTCTGGATTCAACTGAAGCTCAATGCCGGCATTGCAGGACTTGCTTAAAGTCACTCAGCAGATCTGTGGGTAGAGAGTCTGGATTAAAAGCCATATCTTCTGACTTCAGTCCGCAACCTCTAACCAGGAGTCAGTGGTGCCTGAACTGATGGGTTAGGGACCAACTTTTGTTCACTTTATCAATGGAAGTCATTTCCTAGGCTTGATTTGAGTGAGACTATTCACATGAGGTGAGACGAGGAAATGTTGACTAGTGGCCATTCTCTTACCTGCTACTCCCGTGGCACTACCCATGCAATAAAGTCCTACTCTGAATGAGTACGAGTGGGAGAATTAGGTCTGGGGGCTGGCCAGGGCACTTTCTGGAGGAATAGAAATCTTTGGGTGGGTTTCCAGAGCTCTGAGATCTGAGTGTGTGTCTGCACATCTGTATATACACACCCTGAATCCTCACCTGACACCCCTTCCTGGCATGCCAAATATTTTAGGGCAAACCTCTCTCTTACATGCCAGCGCTAGCCCCTTGATGGAAACTGTGATATTTCAAAAGATATTCCTTGGCCTCCAATGCAGGCTAGAAATCTCATTAAAATATGTCTCCTGCAAAATGCTCTGTAATTATGTCTGCTTCAAAGACGACGTCAATTTTGTCATTTTATGACTTTTTCTCGAGACCTATTTTTTTAAATCATTGGAATGCTTGCAGTTTTCACTCCTTGCATCGCCCATACGCATCCCCCCCCCCATCCTGTCATGGGTGGGAGAGCCTTACAGAGAACCCCACCTACTAGGTGACCTCTCACTCAGCCCCACCTGGGACTTCTCCCTGTACTATGTCACCTAACCTATCTGAAGTAGGAAAAATTCCCCAACTTCTCTTCATTGCACTGAAAAGTTCCTTGGTCATCCATATCCTTGGTTGTTCCATGTTCCCTCTTCCCATTGGCCACTCAAGGTCCTTGATTCTTCCTGCCTTCCGTGAGCGGAACTCCTACTTAAGTCAAGGCCTCAATGTTCCTTGGTAATGGTCGCACTCTAATAAACCCCATCCCCTCCAGACTTGGTTACTTGTCCCATAGTCCTTTCCCAGGACAAGCTGTGACTAAGTAATGAATAAAGCTGGGCTGCATCTATCTATCAGTGCGGCAAGGGAACCAGAGTATACAGAAATCCATATCAGGGCCCCTTCCCTTCTAGCTGAGGTCTAGCTGAGTTCCCCTTCCCAGTTAACAATATGAGAAGGATAAGGTGGCCATGACCATGATGTCATGACACCTCTCTCCCTTCCTCCCCCAGCCTTAACCTCTTGGGATAGAGCATGGCTCTAGGAGTTAGGTCCTGCTGAGTTCTAATTCTCTACTCTGCCACTGATTTCAGTCACGACTCAGTCATGATTCTAAGAAGGAGCTTACGTCCCATTAAAGTTGGTGCACATGCTTAAGTGCTTTGCTGAATAGGAGTGGTTTGCTGAATCAGGGTCTTAGGCTGTGTCTAGACTGGCAAGTTTTTCCGCAAAATCATCTACTTTTGCGGAAAAACTTGCCAGCTGTCTACACTGTCCGCTTGAATTTCCAGAAAAGCACTGACGATCTCATGTAAGATCGTCAGTGCTATTCCGGAAATACTATGCTGCTCCCGTTCGGGCAAAAGTCTTTTTCCGAAAGACTTTTGCGCAAAAGGGCCAGTGTAGACAGCATAGTACTGTTTTCCGCAAAAAAGCCCCGATGGCGAAAATGGCGATCGGGGCTTTTTTGCGGAAAACCGCGTCTAGATTGGCCATGGACACTTTTCCGCAAAAAGTGCTTTTGTGGAAAAGCATCCTGCCAATCTAGACGTGCTTTTCCGAAAATGCTTTTAACGGAAAAGTTTTCCATTAAAAGCATTTTCGGAAAATCATGCCAGTGTAGACGTAGCCTTAAGGTTTGTCTGAGGGAAAGGCATTTATTTTCTTTGCTTGTTTCCTAATCAGTAACACAAGGATTATAATATTCACTTTCCAACTTCCCAGGATGCTTGTAGGACTAATGTAGCTAATGTTTGAACAGCACATAAGTAGGACATAAGTAGCTGAAGTTTGAAAAGCACTCTAAAAATGGCAAGCTGTGCAAGTGCTATTTATTATTATCTGGGCTGGTGAGGGTGTGTCATCATAGACCACTGCTCTAATTTGGAGTGGAATAAAAACCGCCCCCGACAGTATTAGCAACTATAGCCAGACAGGCTACACAATGGATACTGAACTTTCTGGCAGAGTCAGGAAAGGTAACTTAATGCAGTACTGTGTGCAGCAAAATGATGTGTTTCTAGA